TACAGTTGAAGAAAATACAAGTGGGAACTACGTTGGAATGAAAAGATAGGGTGGCTTAGGAAGATATCACTTTCTCACATTGCAGTAACTAAAATAATAGAACAGCCACACAAAGGTTATAAGGAATCATGATTCTACTAGAAGTATTGTCTACATTAAGACTGACCCAAGAAAATTTTACTTTGTTGCTTCTGCCTGCTTTGCAAAGCTGCCCTATGATACTGTTCCATATAGCATTTGCCCCATTCAGGTTTAGACCATCTCCAGCTCACAAAACTTTGGATAGATCTTATGTTAACCTGCGTAATCACTGAAGCTGAGTAAACTGGTGGAACATTGCCAAAGGTGTAATGAACACCTTAATTAGTCCTTCACAAGGAGACGTTTGGAGGAAAAAGTTCATCTGTTCCTACAGGGTGTATTCATTTGCCCTCAGGATTCACCACATCATCCTTACAATTTGGATGATGGCATTCCAATGGATACATGGAATCACCAGGACTTCACCTTGCTGTATAACATGCAGCCCTCATCCCTTCTCTGAGGTTCATTCCTATCCTTCCTCTCCTCCTGTCCTCCTCTGTCAGTGTCACTCAGCTTTATACCACAACATCTACCTCAGTGCCCACCATCAGTTGACAGGACAAAGGACTCCAGCCACTTCTGCCCAGTCAAAGAAAACCATCAGGGAAAAAGGACCTGAACAAACAAGCAGACAAGGTCACATACGGAGGAAGCAATCTTCATGGCCATCCTGCATCTGCCCCAGGCAGCTAATTCCTCATCTGTTCTAATGTTCTAATTCCTCATCTTGGATGCTGAGTGTTTGTATCCCAAAGAGTTCTTTCACCTTATGTAACCTTCCCCTTTCCCCAGCTATAAAATATGGCTGATAGAATTTTCTTCTGTGGAACAAGGAAAGTTATGTAGCATTTTCTGCAGAGCCTTCTGTGATCTGTAAATGAAAGTGCTAGCAAAATGCACAGTTAAGTGATTATGCACCACACAGAGCTCATTTCTCAGTTTCTGCTTTCCTGACTACGTTTTTTGAATGGAGACTTGCACACCACTACATTCTCCAGTAAACCTTCTGTTGCTTTGCTGGGGATGCGTCTGTAAATGTGAGCCAGAAACTGTAACTGAGTCTAATAGCTCAGCAGAACCAAGGGATCCCAATGGTCTCCACACCACAGATAACTAGGATAACAAAAAGACAAATGATGCAACAGGTCTCTGTGGCAAATCTCGCACTTTGTTTTAGCTCCTTAGTTCAACATAGAACCCTGCCTTCTCCATTTATTTCCAAAAAGGAACATTATATTTTTAAACAACAATGCAGGACTAATATTCCCTACAGGAATAGTGGATTTAATGCTTGCCCTAGGGCCTGTCTTCCCTTTAGGAAAAGAGGGAGACAGTGACCTGATTTGCTGAAGTAGCAAGCATCCACAGTTCCCACTGATCTTAGTGCCTGCAAATCAGTCCTGCTGCATCTCATCTATGGGGAGACGTGAAAACTGAGGGTCAATTGCTCCTCTTTCTTAAGAATTAGTTGCTCAAATGAAATACCTTTTGTTCGTTTACCCTCAGTTACCCCTAATTAAGCAGGACCCAAGGAAAGAGAAATGCTGCTCGGAGCTGTTCTTCCTAAGTGTTTCATCCTCCTCTGTGGCTTGCTTCATTCCTTATGTAAAAAGCAAGGATTAATGACTGTGCCTAGCAGCCACATTACAATTCAGCAAAGCTGGCAGGATCTGTTGTGGTGCACATGATAATGCTCCTTCCCACAGCAAGGAACGGGGCCTTGTGCTGCCGCTGGCTCCTGCCTCAAAAGCAACCTGGGACAAAGCTGCTAGAAATCTTCAGATGCTTTGACAGAGGAGTTGGATCACCTCAAAGAAAGTTTCCCTTTCGCCCCAAGGGCCTTTTGAGTTTGCTGTGCCTTTAGCAAAGGGAAGCCAAAGAATTGGTGCAAAGAGATACTTGTGTGCAAAGCATACTAAATGTGCTTTTCTGTTTGCAGTGGTACAGCCTGACCTCTCTGAAGGAAACAGGCTTGGCCAGCAAAGCAGGTGGTCCTGAGGCCAGAGAAGGAACTATTCAATGACTTTCTCCAAAAGAACATTCTCAGGTTTTCTACCACTCTCCTCTGCACAAAGTACCTGTGACCAGATCTGTGCTCCTCTATCTCCAGCCCTTCTCCCAGGGGTTAAGATGATTCCCCAGACCAACAGTTCAATCATCTGTTGATCAGGAGTCCTTTCTCTTTCCATTCTGAATTTGCAGGAGTCCTGGAAAGCTCTCAAGAATAATTTACATCCTAAACACAAACGCTGGCAAACGCTGCCTCATTTACAAAAAAATAATCCACTTTGGCAGGCTGTCAACATCCTTGTTCCGTTCCTGTTCCTGAAAAAAAGGCAGCTTTCAGGGCTGCAGTGAGATTTCCTCTGAGGTTTGTTACTAACAGAAAACAAAACAACCCAAGAGGCCTCTGAGTTCCTGCCCATAAAGACCCGTGGGTCTGTGGAGCGAGAGGTCCTGAGGAGACCTCCCGTAAGAGCCCACTACCTCCTGTTCCAGTGCCACAGCAGCAGTGTTGGGCTCCTTCAAAGGTCAAACAGGCTGAGTGCAGAATGGCAGCAGAAATGCTTCTGGTGTTCACAAACAGGCTGATATGAGAAAGCAGCTGCCATTGTCACACCTGGTTGCTACCTGATGCTTATGGCTGGCTGGTGTTACAGGAGACACGTTATGCTGTAAAAGTAGCTACTGCCACAGGGACCACATTCAGACAGCAAGCAGAGAAAAGATGTTGGGTAACGCTGCTTCCTTCTCTGCTTTACTGCTTTGAACTATGTGAAAATCTGAGCTTGATTGTATGGTGCAGAGGAAAGGGTCCAGCAGGAGATTATTTTTGTCTCTGTTTTTAGATTCTAATATGTCTTCTAAGGGATGACAACCGAACCTAATACCCAGACCCACTAGGAAATGTCCTAGTACCCAACAGTCTCCATTTAGTGCGCTGTTATTTCCTAGAGACTCCTCTATAGTTGTCCTAGTTCTCTTCGACTCTTCTACACCATTTATTATTATTATTATTATTATTATTATTATTATTATTATTATTATTTACCAAACAGCCCGGATTCCTTTTGCCGTTCCTCAGTCGTGCCTGCACGCTATGCCAGCACATGTACAAAAGGCACAGCCCCTCTGCTCGGCCCGTGGTCGCCCAGCCACCTCAGCACACCTGCCAGCTGCCAGGAGCCGCTTCAAGCACCGTGCCGTCGGGACCGTGACCGCGCTCCCACCTGCGCGCCCGACCCACGCGGAACGCGGCCCGCCGCCGCCCGTCCCCCCGCAGCACCGGGCGAGGAGGGGCGCCTAGCGCCACCAAGCGGCCACCTCTCGGTACTGCAGCACAGCGCCCTGGGGCCGCCTGAGGGGAAACGGTAGGCTGGCGGCGCGGCGCGGCGGAGTCCCTGCAATGCCAACTCCGCCACTCCGCCTCTTCTCCGGGCACGGGGTAGCGAGGTGTCAGAGCGAGAGGAACGCCCGTGTACGGAGGAGCCCACCCGCTACGGCCAAGTGCGGAGCGCTCAGACCCGGGAGCGGAACACGAGGCGGGGGCCGATGCTACGCGGCACCGCGAGGGGGAGGCAAAGGGCCGCGCTGCCGGGGAGGGCCGGCCGGGCACTGCCGGCTGCCCCGGGGAGGAAGATCCCTGCCGGCCCGGCCCTGCCGCGTGTAACAGGGAAAGAGAAAGAGAAATTGTGAGAGGCGAAGGCTGGGGGCGGCTTGTCCTCAGCGGAGGGACAAGGGAAGCGTGGGACCGGCTGGTAGGAGGAGGTGAAAACTTGCAAAGCGGAGGAAGACTCGCGAAAGCAGCGCCTGCCAGAGGGGCACCCATCTCTATTTCACACCGCGCCCACCGAGCCGGGTATGCCACGTGCAGACCCGTGGCCGGGGCCTAGGGGCAGCTCTGCCCGATAGCGGAGGCCACTGCTGTTGTGCTGCAGGGAGAGGTGCGCGGCACAAATCCCGCGGCTTCTGTGGTTGCGTTCCCTTGCCTTCCCTGATTTACTGACACCCGGCTGCCGGCAGGATGCCCGGAGCAGCCCACCAACTTTCAGATGTGATCCAGCTACAGGTACTAGGGAGGTGACTCCTCCTCCTGTCTCCAAAACACAGCATCTCAGCACATCTGCTCCAGCAGCTTGTGTGCTGTCATTCCCAGGCTGCTGCTGGCAGCCCTCCGGGCCAAATCCACATAGCTATGAGCTGTGAGCCAACACCCAGAGTGGGCATGGGCTGCTTTCTAGCCATGCTGCCACTGCATGCCTGAGCCTACATAGGAGCCTCAGAGTTATCTGCAGACATGGAAGATGGAGGAGGGCAGCACAGGAATTTGTGTTGACCACAACTGTCCTGTCTGCTCCTCTCTGAGTGGAAGCAGCAGCAGCAATATCTTCCCACCACACCCTGACAATGAAGTACCCAGAATCATCCAGACAAGCCTATCTTCTCGGTGCCACACTACAGCCCTCAAAGGAGAAATCTGTAAGAAAAACAGACTGTCCAAGCTGTATGAAAATTCAGCATTGTTAGAACCTTCTAACAGACTGCAGTGCAAGGCTGTATTTGCTTTAATATACAAGCTGGCCAAGCAGGCAGAAATATATGATAGGCCACCAATCTATTCAGGATTAGATGAACTAACGATTCTTTCTTGGCTGCTTTCAAGTGCTTGGGAGCTTTAGAATGGATGATTCTAAGGGCCTCCTCTAAGAGCAAAATGGCCTTTAAAGCTGCAGCAGAAATGCTAAGTCACAGCCTAAAGCAGTGATTGAGCACCTGCTGGGAAGGCAGGGCCAACCCAGGGGAGCTCAGCTGCATGCAGTGCACCTGAGTGACTGGAAGGAATAGTGCCAGGATCCACCCCTTCCTAGACCTTATTTAAGGATTGGAAGTGAAGGTGAGGGTATTTTGCTGGAGATCCCTGCCTACCTGAGACTTTGCAAAGGTAAGCAGTTTTGCTTTTGTTTTTGCGTCTATGGCTGTTGTATTTGGGCTTGTTTTCATTTGCTGTTGCTTAGGATTGATTATGCCACCTCACTACTACTATTGTACTTTCTATCACGCATTACAAAAGTGCAATCAGAAATCATGCTGTAAATTGCAAGGGACTCAATTTATCAACTTCTGAAGGCCAAGGCTGAGTAAACCCTCCTGCTGAAGCATGGATCTTGCTGTTTAAAATAATTCTTTTGTTTGTTTTTACCTCCTGAACTGTCAGGGGCTGTATTGGATAGGAAGATTAAATTGTTGCTTTAATGTCTGTGACTTGAGGTAAGATAAGCCTCAGGTGTGTGGAATAATGGACAGAAAAGAATAGGAAAAGTAGACCCTCCTTTTATCCCTTTCAGTAAACAGAAGTGAAAGAGACAGTTGATAAAAATTGAGAGAGGGCTGGTGAAAGACTGTACTTCCACCCATGGGAAATTAGTAAAAGAAATGCTTGTCTCCAGTTGTTTATGAAACTCACTATTAAAAGATAGTATTAGGACCAACAGCTTAGCAAAATAGAATCAGGAGGGGCTTTTGTGTGCCATTTGAAACAAAACCTTCAGCCATCACTAGCAGGACATGGAAAACCCTGTGTTTTCTAGTGCTGCTTTGGAGTGTGATGGAGCAGCAAGAGGAGGGTAGTGCCTAGACTTCTTGGGGCTGGTTCTGCAGCCCAAGGGTAGAGAGAGGACAGAGAAGTGTTCTGATGTAACTGCTGCCTCTGTAAATGTTTATGCATAGTTGAAGTCCTCTGGAGAATTAGTCATGCTCACATATGTCTGCGAAATGCAGAGACCAGGAGATCTTCAGAGTCACAGTAGTTAAAGTTTTAAAACAAGACAAGTTTAGTAGAGTTGTGAACTCCCATGGCTTGGGGCCCAGGCCAATCCCCAGCAGGCAGTCCTGGGGAGGGAACTTTTCCTTGCTATAGGGAAAAGTGCTCATCTGCTCAGTGCCCACTGCTGCTGCTCTTTATGAAGGTTGTGGTAGCAAACAGCTGGAAGGGCACAGCATGGCTCTGGCTCCGTCCCACTGTGCCCTATCCCTGGCTTGCCTCTGCCCACATAGGACACTTACTCATGCAGTCCCCTCCATACCAGCCAGCTCTGCACTCTGCGCAGTAGATGCCTTTGATGTAGAAGTCATCGAGTGTTCCTCCCCAGGAGCCGTTACGGCATGACTTGCAGTTCTCAAAAATGGTGCAGCCTGAAAGGAGAGCCGCTGTGTCAGAGGAAAGCCTAGGTGAATTGCCTTAAGACAAGAGGAGCGGCTGCGCTCTGTTCTGCACAATAAATGCCAGCAACATTAGTGACTGCTGTGGTGCTGACAGCTTCCCAGCTGCAAACCATACCCAACCTCCACCCCCAAACCCTAGGCAGCTTGGACTTCAAGATCTGGAGCCGAGCTCTTTGACTGGCCTGAGCCTCTAAATCTCATTGCTTCAGCTATAAATGCCTCTCAGGAGTCTAAGTGTGCATGCTGGTGCACGTCGGGCTCAGCCCCAGAGGTTCCAATGTCTTCCAATATGGCCCTGTTTTCTGCTTTCCTCTCTTGCTCTGCCCTTTCCTCGCTAATCAGGCTTCTGATTATTCCTCCCTTCTCACCTTGAGGATGCACTTCAGCCCAGAGCACCTATGAGACATTCCTGGTGCGGAGCTAGCTGCGCCATCACTCTTTGGCAGCTGCCAAGCCTGCTTGAGAAGTTCTAAGCAAGGACAGCACTTCTGGTAGAAGAGTTCCTGGTAGGAGATGCTACCTGCTGCTAGAGTGCCTGGCCAAGTGCCCATTACCCTCAGTGCTCAGCAGCTGTCTTCACACGACTGCAGTGTGACAGTAAGCATACCTGGGTGTATTAAGCAGGAATCACACTCATTCTCCTCGTTCCTGCAGCAGGGAATGGTGTAGCCCACTTTTTCTTTCCGTCCTGGACAGACGCACTCGATTTGGTCGTACTCACAGCATTCCCGGCACATGATGTTCCACTCTGCCCCAGGGCAGTTCTCATTGATCACTGTGTACTCTACAAGTGGGGAAAGAGAGGAAGGATAGAGGGGGCAGAAAAAAATCCATTATTTGGCAAGGACTGACAGAATCTGTTACTCAGCAGTTTGTCAGATCATGCATGGCAAGATGTTTTCCTTGGACAACGTTCCCTGCACAGGAAACTACATGGTAACCTGTGGCCGGAATACCAGCTTCGTTGGTATCTAAAGGACCCACAGGCAGTTTTTCAGGGTCAGACAGAGGAAGTATATATAGAAAGTTAAGGAATACATTTGCTTCATTCTTTTCTCTTTAAGGCCTTCCCTTCATATCTGGAGATTAGATCACATGAGAAACTCTTCTTCAAATCTGAGGTCTGATTTATGGCTTTGTATACATGTAGATTATTTAAACTACAATGCCATGTTCTGCTCAGTTTGTGAGTTTGCTGCTCTCAAACAGGAAGGAATGTCCAACAGGAAGGGGCAGCTCCACAGATGGGCTGTAGCCAGTTTCAATCCCTATTTTCACTCAGAAGTATGCAGTGTCATACACAGTTTCATTGCCAAAGAAAACTAGACTTCTCAATATTTTAAAGGTTAATTCTGTCAGGCACTTCTGATACTGTAACATTATAAATGTTGTGGTTTTGTTTTTTTAAGCTAGCTGATATTTAAACTATCCTAGACACATCCTCTTAGGAAAGGGCACTGTGATACTGTCCAGAGTTGCACCTGGAGGTGAGTGCAGCTCCCACCTTCACTGTCAGCATGCTGTCTCAGTTCTACAAATGGAAATCTAATGAACGCGTGGGGCTGTCAGCATGTCTCTTACCCAGCTGACAGGCCTGACGGCTGCTTTCATGGAGTGCCATGGTAAGAAGTGTGAGAGCAGACTAGAAAGATGGGACGTGAAGGAAACCTGATGAGACACTTTATTTCTTCTTCTCACTCCCTTCCCTCACCCCCTCACCCTCTTTTCTATTTCTATTGTGTTTTGGTAACGTCCTTTTTTCTTTTGTTTTCCACTCTCAGTAACAGATCTGCGTTGCCATTGCAGCAAGCCATATTTCTGTAAGTCACAGCACTCTCCTATCTTTCGTTGAGCCCCATACCCTAATTATCACATCTACCGCAGCTCCCTGACAATAAACTTTGCTGCTCTGCCTTCCTTGATTCTTCACAGACTCCCAAAACCTGGTTCCTGGGATCTTATCTTTTCACTGGTGACATTTGCTCCATCAAAAAGTGACCACCAGATGTTCCTTCATTTCTTTTCCTTTGGCTGGGAAATGAGATTACACCCTTTGCGCTTCTTAGAACTGAGCCTTTCCCAGCCCATTGCAGTTCTGAATTTGGAAATTAGGCTACTGTTTGTGCAGAAACCTTTATATTCCCTCCTGATCCCACAACCACTCCAAGAAAAAAAAAAATTAATCTGTCATTCAACAAAATTCTTTTTTTTTTTTTTAAATTCCAGTGATTAATTCTTGCATCAAAATAACCATAGTGTTTAGCAGTAATATAGCCTTTTGCCTATAGATGTCAAGATGCTTTGCATAGCTATTTTTCCAGATAGGAAACTGAAACACAAGAGGGATGAAGTGACTTTGCTCAAGGTCTCAGAGAAAAACAATAGTGGAGCCAGGAATAAAACTTTGTGCCTTCTAATTCCCAGAACAGCAGTCAATCAACTTGGTCAAGCTGGGACTTCATCTATGGCTATTACTCTCTTCTAATGAAGCAATTTATCTATGAACTGTATCTGAATCAGATTCACTAGCAAATTGATTACACGTGCCTTATTAACTTATTAGAACTGACATTCAACTTGAGCCATCTCATCAAACATGACTGGAAATAGCTGTTTCTGCGGTGTATGGGAGTAGGTATCTCACTCCTTGTTGAAGGAGGATTTCCCAATGTCTGAGCATTAAATAACATTAAATTAAATAACCAACAGTCGGGAGCTTTTGCAAAGCTTGCTTCAAATTTTTTTTCAAAATTTTGAGTCACCCAACTGAAATTAGATGTCTAGTTTCCCTCAAGATTGCTAAGGCTTATTAATAAAATGGCTGTATCCATTTGGACTGTAGCTGCAAGTTTCCCCATAGACACTGGTCTCTGTAAAATGATTCAAATGCTTACAGGCAGAGTTGCATTGGGCTGACTAAGGCATGTCTCCGTCCTTGCAGAGCTCAAGAACTGTTAAGACAATGATCAACACAACATAACTTCCAGGTTAGTATTTCTCTGAGAGAAAGGCTGGACCACAACATCTCAAGAGCTCCTTTCCAGCATAAATTACTCTATGATTCTATGACGTGTCTTTGTATGTGTAGAGTGTGTGCATTTATTCTTATGTTCAGATCTTGTGTACACCAAAGCCAAAAGGAAGGTGTTGGGCTCAACACTTTTTGAACTGAATGGGTAGCATAAGTTGAGCTTAAGACAACGTGTGGTGCTTAAAAAAAAGGAGCAGCAGAATTTGGCCCTTAAGGAATTGTAAAAATAAATTTGCTGTCACCTAGAAATGCAGTTTGCTCACTTCTTGCCTGTGTCTCAATGGAGACAATGAAAGCAGACCGTCTTTTTATTTACTGTCAATTGATTTCCCTCCCAGGCTCTCAGGTACTGCGGTTTGGGTAATGAATGTAACTTTGACAGGGAAATTTATGGGTCTGAGGTTGTTGGTTTTTGTTTTTATTTTTTTTAAGTGATCCTCTCTAGGATTCTATTCACAGACACCTTTAAATCTATTTATTCTGAAGTTTTGTATAAACTATTTTGCAAGGAAATTTCTGCAAAGTCTTGATGTATCCCTTTAATAATTTTAGGATCCCTTTTGTGTTGCGCATATATCTCTTGGCTGCTGAACAAAAGGTAAAATAACTCTTCCTTCAGAAAGAGGAATGCAGGAGGGAGATGCACAGAACAACACATGAGGTTGCGTTGCTGAGCCCAGTCTGGGCTGCAGTGAGGAAGAGGCACGAGCCTGTTCCCCACTGCATGCCTGGGGATGCAGACACAGTTGGCCATTAGCACCCGAAAGAGAAAATCTAGACAGAAAGGTGCAGTAGGAGATTTGATGAGTGAGCAAAGTGCCAGTGGAAGATGAGATAATTGTGGTGCACTTTGTGGGCCCGACCTCCAGAGAAGGCAGGCTGGCATGTGGGAGCAGCTGTGCCTCCCAGTGTCACACAGAGTCCAGAAAGTGGTTTGACCTGATTTTTGGAAGGAGCAGGAAGAAGCTGCTTGACAACCCCTACAAAATATTTAGCTGAACACAACAAACAAGTCTGAAGACAGGCAAACAAACAGTGAATTAATTTATGGGATTTTAATGATGGAAGAAAGGCCCATTAAATCCAGGAAATAGCACATATGGAAGCAGCTCAAGACCGTGGAAACCAAGCAAGAAATAGCTGTGTGGGGAAGGCACGCAAACAGCTGGGGAGGGTGCTGTCAGAATGCCTGCTGTGCTCGGCAGCCTGGCAGAGCTTGATGCTGTGTTTTGACTCTTGCTCCAAGTTCAGCCTGGAGGAAGTGTGCAATGGAGAAATAGAGGCAGTGTGCAACTAGCTGGTACTTCTCATGCACTTCCAGGTTTGACATCATAACCCAGGGAGACCACCTGGTTCCTGCAGCACAGGAACTCAGTCTTTCAGTGATTGATTCTGTAAGACAGAAGTAGGAGGAGATGTTCCCAGGCAGAGTCCATGTTTCCATGATCTCTATGTGGCCTTTTTTGTTGGCAACATCAGCCCAAGGCATGTTAGAGCAAAGGCAATTCATCAGATATGCTGCCACCTCCCCTGCTCTCCTGTATTTACCTGAAGCTTCGGGAAGCCCTCCCTACTTTCAGGCAGGCCCTGAGCTTTCTCCATCAAAGCCTGAATGTATGTGATGAGTTGCAGTGAGGAGAGATGACACAGAAGTGCCTGGAGAGGCCAGCTCTGTTTATCTCAGCTGAGCCCATGTGAGGAACCTGCTGAATGCAGGTGAGGAGCATGCACAGAGGAACCAGTACAGAATAAATGCACACCTGATGTGCTCAATAGTGTAATGCTTCCTGACCTCCCTGTGCAGGCAAGGCCTCAGCTTCTCCACAGATCCTCAAGATTGCAGAGACAAAATGTTCAGCTTTTGCTCTTGATTTTGATTCAGCTCTGTGTTTGTCTTTGTGAAAGTGGTGCTCGTCTGCCTGCCTCTGTACCATATACCTGCAGGAGCCAGTGAAGGACTAGAAGCAGGTTACTCCTACTGCTGTCACAGCTTTAAGGGGAAATACAACTTTAATCAGCTGGACTATCAAGCTCCTGCAGTCATTCACTCAATTTATGAAGCAGCAGCAAATCTGGCTTTGATTTGACTTGTCTGGCTTACCCCTATTCCTTACTTGCTCTACCTTACAGATCCCTTTTTTTGCTTTTTATTTCTGTTTCACTTTTTCATAAGGTGCTGACTTCCTTGTTCAAAATGTGCCTAGGCTCGGCAGCCAGGTGTGCAGCAGAGGACCTTGAACACTGGGTGATGCAGTCGTTATCTCCCTGCTGCAACCATTTCTGCTTTTCCTATCTCCCTCACAGCACACACGTGAGTCAGCCATCTCTGTCCAGGCCAAACCTCAAATAATATCCTTTTCCAAACTGCAGGACCTTGGAAAGTGAGGTGATAAAAAGCCCACAAGAAATTCTTTATTAGTACTTGGAAAGGACAGCAATGGAATTTTGACAGAAATACTGTTTGAATAGAAATGTAACCTTCCAAAAGGGTATTTTTTACTGTGTCATTCTGAAAAACTGGATGTCTCCTTGGAAGATAAGTGAAGGCTCCATTAGCACTCACCCTGAAGAGGGGAGATATGTTTCTTATTCTTATGACAGTGAGTTCTAAGAGGATGCCCAAATAATAAAAAATAGCTGCAAGGATAAGACCATCTTAAAGCACTAGTTCTCAGCAGTCCAAGGTCTGCCGGAAAGGATAGTGATGAGTCCTATGGGATATGCAATGAGCCCAGTCAAATCTCTCGTTTGAAGGAAAAGCAGGGACCTACAAGGGATGGAAAAAGTCTGATCATCAAAGAAAGCAATTGTCTTAGAGCTCAGGGATGAAGTGAGGACTGCCAAAAGCCAAACTGAACTTGACCTTGCAAAGGAAATTAGAATAATAGTAAAAAGTTCTTCAGCCATTTAAAAAAAAAAAAAAAAAGAAAGAAAAGTGACTCGTGGTATAGAGGTGCAGATGAAATATAAGATGGTGTTTGGACAGTGCAGTGAGTTATTGGCTTTCATCTTCAGGGAATCCTCTTATGGGGAATCTGTGAGCAAAACAGACACGCACATTAATGGGTGTGAGGGCATGGAAACAAATCAAGTGTGATCCACTCATTAGTGAACTTCTAATCAACTGCAGTTTGCAAGCTGGGACATTCCAAGTAAATTAGCTTCAGTTTTAGTTTATGCTACGCCATCAGTCCTAAACATCTGGTGATTCACAAGAATGTTGCTGCCTGAAGGGTGGATCAGACGGCTCTTCGCTGTGGGACTTCATTTCAGCCCACTTGTCTCTTGTCATGGTAAATTTGTCAGACATCTTACTAGATAGGAAGGAGATTTCTGATCAAAATGGCTTGGAGCTAAGAAAATTATATAGCTCAGAACTAAGGTGAGTCAAAGCAAGCCCAGTCACACCTATTAACTCGTCTTCCACTTCTTTGGAAGAATGGCTTTTTTAAGTTGCACTCATTTTAAGCTGATGCACGTCCATGCTGGTGATGAAATGGGACACCTCCATCCCTTCTGTCTCTGACTTCGTATTCTCACTTTGTGCTGGCATTAGCTGGTACAAGAAGGGATCAGAGGACCGATCTGGCAGAAAACAAGTTTGCATCTTCATCCCTCCCTGCAAAAAAGAAAAAAAAAAAGTGCCCCACAGTCCAAAAAAAGAGAGCGCTTGAGGACCTTACTGGATGTATGGATTTATCAAAACATGGAAGAAACTGTTTTGTAAGAACATTCGTGCCTTGATCTGAACAGATAGAACTTCCCATCTGTTCTGTTACCTTGCAAAGATGAGTTTTCCTCTTGTGCTGCCATGTATCTATCAGCACATGGATATAACACTACTTCAGCTCAAAGAAATATCATTTCCAACTGCTTTAAGAAGTGGTTTTTATTATTATTTATTATTAAAACTGTATTGTAAATAAGAGCAGGTACAGATACATCTTTAAATTAGAGTCCATAACGGATGCCTGTTTCAATGTGTTTGTTCAACCAGCTCACGTTTCACAGATGAGAGTATACCCCTTCTTATTTGATTGCCATTTATTTTTTAAGCATGATGCTCAATAACAATTAATGGCTTCTGCAGAATAAGTGAGTGTTTGAGTTTGAAGGAATGATTTCTTAAGGCTCTTATTAGGGAACGTTCAGCTGTGTAATATTTCTGAAGTGGAAGATTCTCATTTAAAGAAAAAATAGCTCCAACAGAGGTGAAATCCAGTAACAGTGAATGTATTTTCTTTCTATTCAGGTCTGTCTCATTTTTATGGCTGCTTCAGTCTGTTTCTTATTCAAGTCTGTGTCATTGCACCAATGTGCAAGCTGGTCTTCATCCCATAAGTGCCATGCATGTGGACATTAGCAAATGAAGAACAAGAAGTGCACAGAAGAACTAGAATTTTTTAACTGGCAGTGAGAAACATGTTGGGTGAAACTGTGGCTCCGCTGTGATAATGGCAAAGATCTCCTTTTGAATTCAGTAAGACCAAGAGAAACAGATCTCAGAAGAGAAGAGAGAGATTACTTTAAGAGGCTTTTATGGGAGCACATGGAAAACAGTGTACCCCAAACCATTAAAAATGATGGGAAGTGCAGGTCTTTAGTCCTAACCTCTTTATGCCTAAGAAAACATATTGTGTGCAGTTCTGCTCTTTTTCTAATAGGTGGCTTAAGAAGATGAAAGAGACAGTGTTGCTCTAAAAATACTTGGTTCTCCTTAAAATTATGTACCTACCATTCTTTCTTAGCAGCTGAGCTAATTAAATGAGGAGCTAAAATACATCCTTGTTTTAGCTTTGCTCAGTGTGCTTCATTTAAGGATTACAGGCCATTGCTGAATAATCGGACTGTTTCTCCCAGTGAGCCAGTTCCCATCCTTTCCTGGCTATTAGTGTGCTTTCACACAGCAGTAAGAGGGAGGTGAAAAAATGAAAGGATTTCTACAAAGCAAAACAAACCAGCCAAAGCCAGTGGGTGAACACAGAGGGAAGTCTGCTATACTGAGCAGACTGTCCACTTAATAAATGTGCACTCATTCCACCATCTTTTTTAAGTTCCAAATGTGAGGTTGTGTTGAAAGCAGACTAACTGCAGAAAGTATATTCTCTTTAAGAAGTGCACTGAAAAACAGTCTAATGTCTGTACAACTGTATTCTGCTGGGTGAGGCCATGGTTGGCCTAAACTCCATCTTGTTAACAATACAGAGAATGGGTCATATAGCTAAAAGGCTAATGCACATTCTTCTTTGGCTCAGGAACTGTGGTCTGCCTAATCTTTCAAAAAATTAGGCTTTCTATTCTAGGCTTCCTGTTGTCATGCAGTGTATCGTAGCTATAAAATTCAGAAATAAGTAGTCCTGTTGCTCCTAACAGGCCTTAGGTTTGCTTCAGTGCACTCCTACAGTAGTGCCTTTTTATGCTTGCAAGCTTCCCTTCTTAACTGGGCTGTGGTAAACAAATCATAAACTCTCAGCATTTCTTCTCTGGCAGAAGAGGAGAAAAGAATTCTTACTTCAGTAAGAAGTAATTTCGAGGTCTCCATCTGGTCCTTGGATTTCCCATATCTATCTCAATCCACTCTGCCTACACACTTTTGTTCAGTCAGTAATATAAATCAAGTGCCCCAGTGCAAGTGAAAGGAAAGCCAAGTAAAAATTATGCTTCCTATTTGTGGCATGTAGGTGTTGCTCATCTAAGAGCTGTAACAGTGGCTTAATGCATATAGAGCGTTTCCAGTCTTAACAGAAAACAGGAGTGTTCATTCAGTCAGTCTATACCATAAAACCTTGGGATACCACTGCCACTCAGCCAGCAGTGATGCCCCCTGACTATGTCAGGCCTAGTTCTTTTCTTCTCACATTTCAGCAGCCTTTTTTTTTTGGCAGCAAGCTGTACCATGAAAACTAGAGCCATATGGTATACGCTCCAAGTACAAATCTGTTCCCCTCCACATTTTCTTGTACAAAGGCCTTATAGGCCTTCCACTCTCTCTAGGGAGAGGCTGGCTAGTCCATAGAACCAGAGAGATGCTTCAAGAACACAAGCATCCGCATTTCAGATCCTGCTCCAGCTTAAACCATGTTCCCCATGGCACACATCTTTCCTTGCCTTCAAAATGCCACAGCTTGCTCCTTCTGTATCCTTTTGCCATAGTCAGATTTAAATTAGAGGCCATCATCTATCAATAGTCAGAGTGTTTTAGCATCTGAAGCAACCTGACGAAAATTGCCCTAAACCTCCTCTTCCTTCGTTTTCTCCTCTGTAGTTATGAGATGGTATTTTGATCTTATTATTGGCTCTGTGGCATTGTGTTTGTTTGAGAAGGGCTGTGATGTGGTCAAACAGCCAGGACACAGATAAAACATAGAGGTTGCTACGTTACTCATCAGGCCTTGATTTCTTCTGGGGATAGAGAAGCTTATTCTGGTCAGGGAAATTACACTAGTGTGACTGGAAAGAGATTTTGTTTTTCTTCCGCTGCAGAGCAAGGAACAGGTATGAATGCAGTGCTTTTAAGGTTAGAGAGCCCAGCCTTCGTTGAGAGGCCTGGGGAAGAGAGTTCCATGATAGAGGGAATATCTGGGGACCTGTGGAAAATTAACAGCTGCTATATTTAAATCCATGACCACACAACATGTGAAGAAGTGGTGTTAGACCTTCAAGCACTTCCTTGCTGAATCTGTGTCAGATCTGGACCAGGTTGGCAGAACACTTGCAGTTAATGTTGCTTGCATAGAAATAGCTCACAGAGACAGCAGCCGGATCTCTGAGCTCTCACCCCAAATTTTACATAACTGCAGCCCCAGGGGAACTGTGTACAGCCCTGGCCAAGGACTGCAGGATGTCCCCCTGGCTGCCAGCCCTGTGCCCTTGCTGATGGCTTGCCTCCCCGCCCCACAACTCTCTCCCCACCACAACTCTGGTTCCATGGGCAGGAGAGAGATGCCTGTGTCCCCGAGAGAACCATGCTGGAGGAGGCACACGCGTAGCCCAGTGGTGGGGCAGGCTCCCTCCAGGCTACACAAAGCCCAACTTCGGGGTACTGAGGGATCTTGGGGACTCCTGGGAGGTAGCCTTAGGGTTGAGCATGTGTAACCCCAGCTTTCCTCTAAAACAAAAAGCGAGGCTCTCAGCCTTTGTCCATGCTAGGAAGCTAAACATGTGAACTGAAGTAACCCATTTGCTAAGATTGAATGCATCTGGATGTCTCTGAGCGCATCTGGGCTCCACTTCTCTAGACAGAGGATGGAGGGGGAGGGGAAGAGAGACTGGAGAGGGTTAAGATAGGCAAGAGCACATACAAACACACATGTATTTTTAAGGAAATATGAGTCACTTGCACTTCAAGGTTATTCCAAAAATCAACTCCCAGACCTCCCCCGACTCCTGCCCCCAACTCTTGAGGCAGGCCCTGTGCAACTGGGTGTGATAAATAGGGATAAAAATTGGATACATCTGTGGGGAGGAGGCAAAGTGCTATTTTCCAACCTGCCCTGACATGCTAAGGCCACTGCGCTGTTGAGTCCTTGCCCTGGCTTGGAGCTCCATTCCTGCCGCTGTATGTGGGGTGAGAGGCTCAGAGCAGGCAGGGAGTGGCTGTCGATTTGGGATCCCCTGCCCTGCAGTCACTGACCCTGGCACATGAGGAGCTGCTGCCAGGTGGGCAACAAACCTCTTTGCAGCAGCCGGCTGCAGGTCTGGCACCGCCTGTGCTTAGGAGTACTGGGGCATCTGACAGAGTGACAGGTCACCGCCGGGACAAGGAACAGTGCAAGTGGAACAGCGGGACAGCGTTTTGTGCTGGTGCCTCTGGGAGAAGCTTTGGCAGCAGTCAGGCTCTGTCGCACGGGCCCTAAGAAGTGGCGAGGCAGGGCGCTGCAGAGCAGACCCTCTGCTTCAGCCCCCAGTAAGGTGGACTCTGCAGCCCCATCGTTGACACAGTTTGTAGCCATCACACGCTGCCTGCATGCCTGACATGTCCCCTGGTCTGCTGCTCCCCCTGATGTGCTCACCTTGCCAGCAGCACTGCGACCTGCGGGCATCTGGGGGCACCTGACCTCCCAGTCAGCAGCCCGCAAGATGCTGACAGCCATCTGTGCCAGCGGCTCCAGCCGCTTCCAGGTGTAAACAGCCTGCATTCGTGGCCACATGACAGCAAATCTGCACTCACCAGTAAATGCCTTTCGCTTAGTCTTATCAAGAAGAAACTGAACATGCTGGCTCAGCAGAAACTGGAGCAAGGCTTGACTACAAAAAAGATTATTCTGCTTTAACAAGGCTTCCCCTTCGAAAGAATAATATTGGCAGCACTAAAGCCCAGATCGGAAACAATGTGTGGCTTTTGTTTTCTTTTTTTCCTACACTTTTTTCCTCCTTTGCCTTCATTCTTGGTGTTGAGGCTGGAGAGGAAAGTCTCTGTCTTGCCAAACTAAACAAATTACGCTTTACAATTCAGAGACTTAAATGCCTTTTTTTTATCATCATTTCCTTAGCTTTGAGTGTTGAGAAAATAAAGCAGTAGTAGGTGAAGTGATTGCATACCCTTTTCTTGATGGCCATTGGCAAACAAATCCAGCCAGTTGTTTCTCTTTAAGGCTATTAAGTTTGCCTGGAAACCATCCCTGGGCAGACCTCCCCCCACACGTTCTCCATACCAGCAAGAAATGAATCAATAAAGCAGAGCCCCTTCCTGCTATTCTTACCACCCCTGCAGATCTCTCCACTTCCCATGACAGCGCGTGAGCTCAAACCCCTCTGACCACACTGAAGGAAAGGCACTGATTCGGCCGTGCCGGGAATGCAGACGCTCACTTACGGTACCTCTCGGCAAGCAGGAGATGAGCAGGAGCTGGAGGAGGGTAAGTCCTATGTGTGTCCAGGGGGCTCGCTCCATACTGCTCAGGCCGGTGCAGCGGTGTGACTGCTCAGGAAGGGAGAGCAGGCAAACAGCTTTTACTGGGACCTCACCAGCTCCAGGCTGCAAGAGATCTCGGATTTCAGACCTCGGCTGGCTCCCATCCTCACCAGAGGGGAACTACCTTCAAGAGACTTCTCAGGCGTCCAGAAGCACGACGTCACCCCAAACCTCTCCAACTGCTGCCTTAACCCTTTCTGAACTCTGGCAGCCGATTGCCTTTGTGATGTGTTTATTGGCTTTTAGTGTTCAGCTGTAAGACAGCAACTTTCATTGTAGAAAGAAAGATATTGTTATGATGGAAGAAACAGAAATATGAATTTCTATTCATGAGTCATTGCTGTGGATAAGCTGAAGTTACAGATGTCTCCAGAAGGAGGCAAGCTTGGTGCAAGCTCCCTCTGGGCATGCAGGGCTGGTGTATCCCCAGGGTGCTGCCATCGCATGGGTGGGTGTCCAAAGGGATTCCTGGCCCACACTCCCATGACTGGACAGCCCTACTAAGTAATACATGTGCCATTACAACAAGCTTAAAATAGCTCTGCTTCCTTATGGTGGACCAGATGAATGAATGAGGCTTGCTAAGTGTTTGCTGCACGGTGGATGAAAACCGCAGAACACCAAAGGAATCACTTGGAATACAGATGCTTGAGTTAGTCAGAGGCTTTTTACAAAGTCCGTTTCTGCGAGAAAATGCAACTTGGGCAAAATTGAAATGTTTTGTCAGAACATGCTGATATTGAGGAAATGTTCAATCCAAACAAAGGAGACCATTGCATTTGGATTTTATCTTTGCGTCATGTTTCGTTTTGCCTTTTCTATTAATAAGCGCTACTGATTTTATCTGGTCACATATTTGTTAACTTTTTTTTCTTATGTTTTTTCTTACAGTTTTTTCAGTACTATCCAAAGGAAACATTGCATGGTTCTAAGACAGACTTTCTCAATTTCATTTCTGTAGCAAATTTGCAGAACTTACATATATTGTGAAGAATAAAAAACAAAATATTGGCATTTTTTACGGAGTAGAAACTGAAGTATCTCAAAGGCTTTAACAAATACCTACAGATGTTTGTAAAGCTCATAGGCATGTTGAGCAACCTCAAAAATTCATGAGCAGTAGCCAATGGAAACCTTGAGTAGTTTACTGCAGTGGAAAATCCATTATGCCTTCAGGTGGTCTTTCATGGTATGAATTCCTTTATCCAGACATCTCTCCAGGTTATCTTTGTCTGCCTCGCAACCTATTGATTTTTAACTGTGAACAGTCTTTGTAGTGT